CAGAAAACGTTGTATACTGAAAATAGTGTGTTCAATGTTACTAAACTCACAGAACTCACATTCTGCAAAAACATTCTCATRAAACAAATTCTCAGCGCCGCAAATATACCGTTAGTCACTGGTCAGTACTGGGCTTTTTATTCAGAACGTTTTCAAAATGGCAAATGAGTCAAATAATTTCTCACTCTGGGAAACCCAATAATTCTCCGTCAGTGGCAAATGGTTGTAGTTTCATTTCCTTAGGTTCCCCCTTTCCTAGGAAGCTATCGGCTGGGTTCCAGACTTCCCTCACTTGTTTCTTTGGAGAGAGGGACAGGAAGCCCGACACAAAAAACGTATGAGAATAAGCTTCGCGCCGTAAAGAAAACTATAAGAAAGATTAAAACCATTTGCCCCTGGCTCTTTGCATTTGTCAGTCATTGTCGCATCGCTAATCATCATTACATCATCATGGTACAGCCTCCCTGACGACTAATGCAATTATTTTTTAATTCGACTAATTCATGAGGGAGGTATGTTTGCTTGGATGCTTTTAAGCATCCCTCAAAACACTAGAAGACAAAAGAATCCGATCAAGGTAATCATATAGTTTTGACCTCAAAAATGGCGCTTCCCAACGTAAATACACTAGTAAGAAAGAATGAATCCAGCCTCTGGAACCCACTGGGATATACAGACATCTATTGCGAGAAGATAATAAAAATTCATAGTTTCTGTCTCAAGCACTAACACAACTTTTGTAACAATGTAATTTAGCAGACTTTTAGACAATAAAGACTGGCTGACTTACAACAGTACAATKTTAYGGAGCCTATGCTTCTTTCTTGAGAAGCTCAACGATCATTACTGGAGTTTCCTGCTTTTCTATACCACTTATATCTAAGTTGACATTTTCACTTGAGAGGATTTTCAATTTCCAACCATTTTTGTGTGCGATGCTCTTGAAAAGCTCTTCGGAACCAACCATGTAGGAAAAGCAAACAAGCAATCTCCCTTTATCTTTCAGATAGCTTCCCGCGTCTGAGAGGAAGCGTTGAAGACCTCTGTAGCCAGGATCAATGAGGCTATACAGGAGAGGATCTAGTTGAGCTTCTTTGTCGGTATACTGACCAGCCCAGGCTGAGGCCCAGTAAATCATGTCGAACTTTCTTCCAATGATGTCGTCGTTGTTGAACACATCAGCGACTACAGCCTTGACACGATTTTCCACTCCATGAAGTTTTGCATTCTCATTTGTGTTTGCTACAGCAGCTTCGTTGATGTCAGTTGCCCAAACTCGACATTTTTTGGAAGACAGAGAGACGAGAACAGACGTATACCCYCCTCCGCAGCCAACTTCGAGGAAATCGTACGAGGCACTGGCTGAGCGTTTCGCCAATTCTTCTTCTACGAGCCTCAAAACCTCTCTACACATGTATTCTACCAAGTCTGGACAGACGTTGGGATGCCAAACGTCCTTGTGGATTACAAATTCCTTGTTAAGAACCATTGCAGGAGTTCTTTTTTCATGCAGTAATCGCATTTCTTTGGTGGTGTGTGCGTGATAGTCTACCTCGTTGACTCGATGTTCACTCATGACAGCGGCAAGAAGACTTTGAAGACTAGAAGAACTCAAAACCATTTGATACTAGTTTGTTGAACATTCAGCATTAGTACTAATTGAAACATTGCTTGTCGTACATAGTATTGGTTAAATTACCGTTCTCAATGTGACGAAGGTGACACTACAAAACGGTATTGGCAGATTTTTGAATGCTAATAATTTTTACCAGAATGACATTTGATGTCTATAAATGAAACAAGATTCTTTACGTGGCGTAGCGTTGCGCCGAAAAAAGAATTGCAATTACGCTCTTTATTCGCACGAGTTGGTTAAGTTATGTAATATTCACTTAAATTTACAAGCTTTGGGCTTCGATGACACCAGCTTGTCTTTGCGATCCGACAACGTTTTTTCATGAATGGGTGTATGATAGATTATTATTCATCGACACTCAACCTAAAGGCAATATTTTTTGTAGTGTGTCCACACTCCGGTAACCGCTATATAAAAACAAAGAACAAAAAACCTGAAAAAATAAAAAAAAATAATAATAAAAATAAAAAAACTTGGTGTCACCTTTTATTTCATTCACCTAGGTTCAGACCTTTCTATACTATTTATTCCATAAATTCCAGAAATTATGGTACATTAGAACATAAAATTTAACTTTAACAAAAAAAGATAYACTAGCTGTCTAAATTATTGTACAAATTTAGAACATTAAAACAATGCTTCGCAGTTATATTTCCAATAGAGTCATCTTTCATTGACAATATATAGGAATAAGCAATGATAACCTGTGAAGGTTTTGAAATTGTTATTTATGTTATACAGACTTTGGGCAAGAAATCTTTTATATGATGACTATAACATTTAGTCCAGGAGGGCTATTATTACATAACGTACATAAAAAAATCATTTCTTAGGAATGAAACATTTATCAATGTCATAGGCAATTTCAATTATAT